TTAAAGCCGCGGATCGGGCGCGCTGTGGCCTTCGGCTGTAACGGGCCCACAGGGCTGCTGCTGAAACAGCCGGCAACGCAAACGGCCCCAGAAGAACCAGCTTTTGTGTCGCTCCCAAGCTCCGGCATTTCAGGGAGAACGGTTGCGACGCGACGGCCTGGCCCAAGCCGTGTCACTGCCCCAACCGCCGCCCCCGAGGACACCTCGGTGCCCCCGGCTGCCACCAAAATCACTCGTGACCGCACACGCGACTCTTCTTAGGCAGAAAAATAAAATTACTCGGTTAGATTGTCAAGTTTGCAAATGGCTAATTAGAAAAATATTTTAATGGTGTGGACATGAAATATATTCAATTGCTGGTTAGCCATCAACAGAAGAACCTTCCCAATCACAAACTAATATATAGTGTGTTGTGTCAATTTTCTCACCCTTCATAGGGGTTTTTATTAAAGCTATTCATATACAATCAGTTTTAGTATTAAGGAAATGCTTTTATTGTGAAATCCATACTTCAACAAGGGCCAGCGAACCATCTTCCATGCTTATTCTGGACCTCCACGCTGTAAAAGAAAAGCAGACAGTTAAACATATTCCACTAAAAGAATGGGAAATGGAGAACAAATCTTCTTTTGCACTGTTACAGACTAACAGACAGAGTTCCAGTTTTAATTTCTAATTTATACATTCATTTTTCATCTATATAAGAAGATGCACAGAGTGTCAAATACCAGCACCTACCAGTACCAGCTCCATTTTTTGCAGGGGAGAATACAAAAAGATCAGCACTTGCAACCTACAAGTACAGTTGCTGCCATGTCTCCCACTGAAGAAACTTGACTCTTACTGACTTCAGAAAGGCCTGACAAACACAGCAGCAGTGAACACACGCTTTACAATTATTTTTACTGCCCAAATTCCAAAGTGTAAAATAAAAACAAACCCAAGGTGAGCCATCCCAACAAAATTATTCTACAACTTACCTCACCATTAGATAATTTATGCTAGAAGTCAAGAAGAGTATTACTACGGGAAATAACTCGTTTTATTTCTAATTATAATACCCTGCCCACATACATGCAGGAACACTGATTTCCTCTACTAACATGATTAGACTGTAGGTGTCCTTATCATTCAACAAAGCTTTGCAAGCGCCTTTTCATTTCAAACTCACAACTATCTCACAAGTTCTTCAAATTTTGTGCATTCTCCCTTTTCAAGCATCGGTGTTCAGAGCTCAGAATTGTTACAGAACAAAAGCGGGGTTTCTTCCCTCTCATGTACACTGCCTTACTTGCAAATATTGCAGAAAATATTTATGTCAAGTTTAATAAAACATTTGTTTCCACTACTAGAAACACAAGAGTTAACCTAACTAATAAATAACTTCTGAAAACTAGTTTGAGCAGTGCTTTGGACTTCAATCATGAGGCAACAGCCTTCGCTGGCTTACAAGCGGACCCCTGTGCTCCAGTCCAGCACATTCAGGCTACACGTGAAACAGCTGTGACAAAACAGGCAGTGACGGTGATTAACGTAGGCTACGGCTGCCGCTAGCTGCCTGCACGTCTGTTTTAAGCCCATACCACTATACCTGGCGATACCACAAGCTACTCATTACTGAGAGCCCAGTACACAGTACCTTCTGCATTAAGGATTTGTGGCCTGGCTATCCTGCACCAAAGACCTGAAAGCTGCGACCACACCCCTACCAAGAATTACAAAGTAATACCAGGTTTGAAACTTTGAAGGTGTAGAAATAAGCTAAATGCTAGGCAAATCCAGACAACACACACCAATAAATAAAACTTACTTGAATATATTCAACCTCTTCATCCGACATAAGTTTCCTTCTGTATTTCTGAGGTAAGGTTCTTGCTAATTCAGAAGTGTCTGGTGTACCCTGTACTCTACTAACAGGTGAAGTATTTTGAAAGGCCAGTGATCTCCCTCCTATGGACTCCTGTGCTCTCGAAGCAAGGAGAGATGGCACACTTGCTGGTAGAGATTCCTGTACTGAAAACACAGATTGTGAAACCATTTGCAGAGATGTAACAAGACTGCAAAACTGATTAATGAGCAGCCAATCAAAGTTACCAGTTATTGACAATTTTCTTCATTATAACAAATACTTCAAAGAAATAAGACACTCCACTTCTCACAACCTCTTTTTACTGGTTTTAAATATACCAAGAGCATAGTGAAACAATTCTGACAATGAAAGAAAGCCCCTTTGAGTGGCACAAATACTGACGTGGAAACAGGAGATAAATCAGCATATATCCTGACAAAGGCTTTTTCACTGGGAAGCTGTACTTACAGAAAAAGCATAAAGTATCAGAAACGTCAGTGTGGAGGCAATTATGAAGAAAGATAGCAAAGATAAATCACTAAGATCCACTGAGATGATGCTGTTTGTTCACTGCGACTGTAAAGACAGACAACTGAAAAAAGAGGTAGGTGCTTACCGGAAGATAAAACTCACAGATACCACAACACGCAATGCAGCACTGTACCCGTTTTTAATATTACAAAATGGCATCGTATAAAATTTTGTTAACGATATGCAGAATGACCACCACATATCGGGCATCAGCAGTCAATGCCAACGCAGTGCAGAGATCACGGTGCGCATGAAGCACTTTACAGGTGAGGGCCAGGAGGTAGGCTTAAGGAATTCACGTTACAGAAGTTGCCGTGAGTTTGAGGACAGAAGAGATGACAAAAGGGCAGTGCTGTCACAGTCAGCATTCTGAACCTTGGGTCTGTCCCACCATGGCCGATCTTACAACGGAAGTATGCAGTTACCCCACCAGGCAGGATGGAGTCTCACAGCAATACATTTACTTCACAAGCACTCAGACCTCTCTATAGAAGGTTGAAACACCTGATAAAGCAGAATGCTTCCCCAGGAAGTCCCTCCCAGTGCTCCTGAAAAACGAGCAAGAGAAACACAACAGCTGAACAGCTGCGACAGAGGGACTGTGTAATTATAAAATATGCAGCATCAAGACTGAACGAGTCAAAGAATGCGAGGAGTTAAAATATCACAGCGTTGCCTGCCTCTCTCCCTCCTGCCTCCAACAAGATCAATGAGGACAAAGGAAAGGAGGCAATGAGTCAATGGTAGGACCTGCACCAATGTGATCAAACCACCATTGGTTAAAAAAAAAAAAAAAAAGCCACCATTGAGTGGCATATTCCGAAGTTCTCAGTCAGAAGACTGTATCTGGAAGTCCCAAGTTGATCAGGTGCTTCAGGTACAAGGTAAGGTCCCAGAGTGAGGAGGAAGAAAGCCCATCAGAAGCAGTATGTTCTGAACAGGGGGCATAGTACTTTTGTTTCAAGAAATAACACACCTTATATAGGAAAAAAGCAAGAAACAGTTTGTCCAAGTTTGTTTCGTACTGCACAAAAATACCTAGAGATTTGCCAAGGATTTTCCTCTGTTGTATGTTTCAGTCTCTAGTGCAGCTGGAGCAGATGGCATTAGCCAATGAAAACCATCAGAAGTCAAGACTCGAAAGTACCAGGCTTAATACTGCTGTTGCTTTATCTCAGATACAGTCTCTACTATCCCCTTCCCTGTTTGAGACCATCATGTTGCAGTAGTAATAGGGTAGAAGAATTTGGCTGGCCTTTCAAGCACCCACACCCCTAAAACTTCAGTCTCGCTCTGCAGAGCTCTGTTTGGCTATGCAGAAGCGACAGCCTGGTACAGTGAAATGCAGTTATTGCTATAATGTTCAAGCAAAATGAAGTAGATTGCAATTTGCTAATGAGATGACAGAACCTGATTAAGATAGAGGTCTAATAATTATTAGTTAAAAATACTTAATAGATTAACATATTAATACTTAAAATACTTCAAAGATATAGTCACAAAAATCTTCTGACGCAGAGATAAACAAGAGGTAAGTAACATTTTTTCAAGCCTTTGAGAAAGCAGTTCAGCGGCACGAGAGGCGGTGCATTTGGCTGAACTGTGCACAACACACAGAATTCTGACAGAAAGTTATTGCCGAAAATAGCTCCAGAAGAGTTCACAGGTAAGTCAGAAGGGGCACTGATGTGCTCTGTAGGTGCAATGTCAATGGATAAACTAAACTCTGAGCTGTATCACAAATGTGACAATGCTGTGGTATCATTTCTAGACAAGCCAGAACAATGTAACAGAGCTTCTTAAGGTGTTTCCTACTTCCATTTCGAATGCTCTGTTGACTCAAAAGCAATATTAAAACAACATGGCACTCATCTAACTTTGATGTCTAGATGTAATAGTACTGGGAATCTTATAAATACCAACATAGCTATAGGTATAAAATTTATGTCAAGGACTGGAACGAAATTAATTTTTTCTCAGCATTAATTAGCAGGACAAAGAAACACTTATTAAAATGTGCAGCAGGATGGCTCTCCCAGCTATAATGAGGGTTTTAAATACCACAAACACCACACACTCTCAACTAAGAAAAGAAGAGATGAGGAAAATGCAGTAGCATTTCTGCAAATACCACAGAATACCTAAAGCTGCGTCAAACTCACTTGGGCACAGTCATTCCAGGCAAACATTAGTATTCAGAAAAATCTGACTTCATATGTAAGCAGAAGACCAATACTGGAAATCTTCTTGAATCTGCTTTTATCAAGAAATAAAGACACGCATGTATTATGTGTATTCTCACAGTTGCATTGAGTCTGAAAAGGAAGAGTCAAAGCGTTGCCTTCAAATTAAAACAACGACGTTTCAGAAACCCTGCCCAAAATCAGTCAAGTTGCATAGTTGAAACAGAAAAATTCTGTGCTGGTTCTTATATAGAACGGCTAATGCAAAGAAATGTGGCGCAAGTTCTATCTATAGATTAAATACTTACTTTTAGGTCTAGGACTACTTTTTCTGTCCGGGAACTTAATTAACGGAGTATGTGGCTTGACTACCTAGAACAAGGCAAGGCAGTAGGAGAAACAAGGATAGTAAAACATATTTCCAGACACATATTATCTTCGCAACAATAAAATGGAACATACAAAGTATTAAACAATCACTGCTATACTGCTGCTTTCTGCATCACCACTCTGATAAAGCTACTACTTATTAAAGTTCTACGTTTACCCCCCAAGAAATTTCACCCTTAAAGGTATTCCCCCACCTAACGTCCACAGCAGGAACAAGCGTTCTCTCCCCACAGCAATCAGCCTGTGTGTGTGCAGAAACAGCTACCGCAGTCGCATAAATGCAATGATAAAGTTTTAGCACGCGGAATTGCTAGCTGTGCTCTGCCTGTACGTATTCAGCTGTCGGGACGAGACTGACTAGTTCCAGTAAGAAAAAACTGTAAACTGTAAAGGTTGGCAGCCGAAGCCACACTGCTTATTTCTGAAACACATCCTTTGAGGAAGGCTCCACGTCTCACCTTCACCTTGAAGTACGATGGCTTAGAAAGGAGCTGCCGGATAACGCCCTCCCCTCTCGAACAGGGCACAAAAGGGTGCCCGCTGCCCCGCAGCACCCTTTGGTACCAGAAAACCACTCACCGGCACCAAATGACCGGCGACACCGGGCGGGCCCCACCAGCACGCCTCTTCCCCCGCGCCAAGGACACCGGCCTCCCCGC